CATAAAACCTATGATCTTTACAAATCAAGACTTCAAATGCAAAGTCTAATCAAACTGTGGGTTGGAGAAGCTTGACACACCGAGAAGGGAGTCACAGTTAGTGATGAACCCACAGGATCCTTTTATCCTCTGACTCTACCGAGTGTTGTAGCGTCTCTCAGCTCATTGTTTTGGTTTTCCGTCCCACGGCTTCACTGTATTGGTTCACTCTCAGCTTCACTCTTGTGCTGTCGTGCCCTCTCCTAAAGATGATGGTTTGAATGCACCCCTTGGTCATTCTAGAAATTGCATGTTCAAGACCGATTTGGAAAGTTACACCTCTAACCTCTCAATGTTGTGCTGTCTGTGCAGTGGTACCCTGAGGTGAGACACCATTGTCCCAACACTCCGATCATTCTGGTGGGTACCAAGCTGGATCTGAGAGATGACAAGGACACCATAGAGAAGCTTAAGGAGAAGAAACTCTCTCCAATTACATATCCTCAAGGACTTGCGATGGCCAAAGAGATTGGTAATTGGAGTTTTATCTGACTTGTTTTTGTTTTTTTAAATTATTTAAAGAAAACAAATATTTGATGTACGGTTTCCTCAGGTTCCGTCAAGTACCTGGAGTGCTCAGCCCTGACTCAACGTGGCCTTAAAACTGTGTTCGACGAGGCCATCCGGGCCGTCCTCTGCCCTCAACCTGTCAAGAAGAAGGGGAAGAAGTGCTCTCTCCTCTAAGACTTCCTCCACTGGAACGGTTACAGGGGAACATGGCCGCTAGTGGTGAGGGGGTGGCTAAAGACACAGGAGAAACACACCAGTATACACACAGAAACCATGTACTTCAGATTCTTTCCTTCCATAAGTGTAGCTACAGCAGTTCTACCAACCGTTTCCATGACAAATTTGACATAGCGTCAGATTTAGGAGAAAGGGTTGGAAGATTATAGACCCTAGTTCTTTTCCCAACAACATATACTGTATAGACAAGACTATGAAATTCTTGAGGCCTTCTAAAATGAATTGGATGTTTTGTAAAAAAAAAAAAAAATGGACCGTGGAATGTTTTCAATTTGTTCTTCCACTGGTTGTCGACCTTTTTTTGTTTACAGTCTTGGTTGTTTGTTTTGAGTGAAAGAAATATTGCCAAATACATCCTGCAGACGTGCTGTATTTTAAAAAGAAAACCTTTTGTTCTGTCGTCTCGAACCTTCAAAACCTTCAACATACAGCTGACCATTTGCTGTCGTGCGCTGCTGTTTGTTCAGCTCCATGATCGATGGCATTTTGTTCATTTTCACTTTGCGACGGCAGTCATCGCACTGTCACCGAGGAACTTGAAGTAACCACCTGTGAAGTTCTTTTTGCCTCAGATTACTGTTTGTGCACCATAAATCTCTTTACCAGTCAGTTTTCAGTCCTAGCACACGAATCATGTTAATTCATGCTCATGGATTAAATGACGCCTGAGACGTACTGAAAACTCCTCTGACACCAACTGTGCTATTAAACCCTGACAAATCTAAATGATCCAGTATTTTATGTGTTTGGCTCCAATCGGACCGGTCAAGTTTATGGTATTTTTCCTTTTTCCTCTTCGCAATATTTCCCTCGTGTCTCTCAACTGTGTAGCTGCCCAGGAGTGCAACGCTGAGAACTTTATTAGCTATTGGATTAGAACGGTTTAGGTGTTTTGGTGGCGGGAACAAGAGCACCTTTAATGCTCTGTGGGCATTTATCCGAAACCTTTTGTGCAGCACATTTTGATTCTTAATAGCATCACTACTGGCTAAGCAATGTCACTAAGAAGAGCATCAAAGCCTGCTAATAACAGTAACAAAGCTACTGTCGGTTATGGTGTAGTATACAGTGTACTCATCTTTTTGTTATAATCATGTGATTTGACTGTTTTGTATCTTTCTTCACAGAAGTTACACTTCACTCACTGTATTGTCAAACTAACACTATGAATATCCTTTTGTTTTATTACCTCTACAGTTAACGCTACCTTAATCTTCCCTACAAGCCTAGCTTTTTGTAATTAATGCTGATAGCATGTATGTGCAACATATACTGAAAACTAAGATTAGAAATCGCAACAGTTATATTTTTTGCCTATTTACGAAATGTATTTGAACTACTAGATCAGGGGTTAAGTACATGTTGCTCATCTGTATTGTATTCAGACATCAAGCTGTGCTTTAATTCAAGCCAATGTTGTGACTCTTTAGTTTTATGGATAAAAAGCTATTGTCACTTTTTGAAAAAGCCAATAAATTCAAGTAAAACAGACTCTGCTCTGCCTCTTTGTTGGACAGCTCAGACAGTTTTCCCTTCATGCAACACTTGTACTATCGACTAGAGATGCACCGATCCAGCTTTTTCAGTTTCGATACTGATCCCAATACTGTGGCTTTAAGTATCAGCAGATAACAGATACCGATCCGATACCATGGTTGACCTAAAAAGCTATATACCTTTACATGTAGAACAGAGAAGACTAGAGGCATCAGGCATTGATGACTACACAGTTCTTTCCTAAGATAAAATGAAACAGATTAATCTACATCTACATCTTGTAACTCTTGAGACAAGTGTTTGATCACTTTCTCGTATATTTCCGACAGTGCGGTCTCGGAAAAATATTTGCTTGACGGCAAATTGTACCATGGCTCCACGTGATCCAGTAAACTGGTGCTCCATTTGGCGATGTTTTTGTAGATGCTTTATTGAATTGGTAGTATTATACTTGGCAGTACTACCACCACCTCTAGCAACGTTCACTTGGCGGACATTACAAACTGCTGTCGGGCTAGTTTGAGTGTTCAGTGTGAAATACTTCCACACAGCAGATTCTCTCCTTCGCTCCATGATGTATCCCGTAGCTCACGTCACAATAGATTTAAAAGAAAAGGATCGCCTCAGGTATAGGGTTGCATTTTCCGATACCCAATCCATCCATATTGATGATATCGGGGCCGATATTCGATCCAGAAATCGGATCTGTGCGTCCCTACCATCAACTGAATCCTGCTTCAAGTAAATCTTACGCCTTAGACATGCATCCCAATTTGATCACAAGTGGGCCGCACCATTAAAACCATTGCATAATAACCTACTCATAACAATGCCTCCAAACCTTCCCTGTCCTTGTAGTGTAAAGAAGTACATCCTGAAAACGTTCTCAGTGAATGAACAACAAACTAGTGCAATTTCAACATGTCTGTTTTTCCCTTTTCACTTTACTCACAATTGTAACAGTTGTTCATTTTTTTCCATACACGTCCACTACTGTGTCGTAATGCTGGCGTCAGCAAGCTAAACTGGAAGCAATTGAGGAAGCAGGTCAAGTTATCCCCTGCCTTACAAACCATTGATAGACCTTGTGACAGTGCTTGAGCAACAGGGTTCCACAAATGGTGCTTGTGAGATAGAGGTCTGCAGGTCCTTAAAATTTTATAAATAGTAGGCCTTAAAAGTTGGTCTAAGTGGTCTTAAACTTGAAAGTATGAGGTCTTAATTGCCAGAAAAAAAATTATGTAATTTAAAATATCCACCTTTCAGTTTCTTTTAATCAAAATGAGTCAAACTTTCCTGCATGAAAGTCCAAATTTCTGATGTTACAAATCTTTAAACCTTCCATTGAACCTGTCTTTTTTTTCACTTAATACTTGCACTTGTCTGCTGGCAAAATATTGGATTAACCTACCTCATTCAAATAACCATATTCCTACCTAAAACTTACCTCTGCACAGGAACATGTATATACAACTAACCTTTTTACTTTTCTGCAATGCTTGAGTAAGAAAGATTTGTCCAAAAATCAGACTTAAAGGCATTAAATTTGTCTGGTTACTAGAGACACTCTGGATACAATAATTTTGACCTGAAGCTGCTGTATATATATTTTTTACTATATTCACTAAATTTAAATGACAATTAATATTGGGGGGGGGGGGGGGGGGGGG